CTCCGGGGCTCCCTGCAGTCATCCCGCCGCCGTCTGGGAGCTCTGCGGAGAGAAGATGGGAGTCAGTGGCTGAACCGACGGGCTCCGGGTCCAAATCCGAAAGACAGGCTCTGGCCGCCTGGCCCAGGCCGCTTGGAGATCCCTGGCGGCCACCCACGGATTTTCCCGGGCTCCGAGTCCGGGAGCCGCCTCCGATCGGGTTTTCCGCAGCGGAGCTCCGAGCCAGGGACTTACGGCTGGAGCCCGAGTCGGCGGGGGCCCGCGGGCGGAGAGGAGAGGGGGCGCCGGCCGCTCCCTGCGCATCCCCGGCAGCGGGGCTCCGACCGCCTGCGCCCCCTTCGCCAGCGCGGGCTGGGCCTGGCGGGCGTGGGGTTCCTGGCAGCGGCTTCTCCAGGGTAAGTCCCACCCGGACTCGCCCCCTCCCCCGCACGTGGCTGCCCGTAGTAACGGAGGGAGGGGTACTCAGAGCGCCGGGGTCCGCAGGGGCGAAGTCGCGTCTCTCCACACACGCGCGCGTCCGCCAGCCAGCGCTCCACATACCGCAGCGTGGGAAGGAGGGGGTGTCACTGGCTCCAGCCTCTCCCAGCCCGCCCCTTCCTTCCAAACCTCCTCAATCCGCACCGAGGCTGCAGCAGGAGAGACTTGGGCTAGACTCCGGGAAGACTGCGCTGAGCCAGAAAAGCCCGTCAGAGGAGAGGCGGTGGCGGCGCACTTTGCACGGGATTTAACTCCGGGTAGAAGAACTCTCCCACCTAGACACACTCACACGCACACGCACACGCACACACACGCACACACACACATACACACAGCAGCCTGACAGGAGCAGGCTGGGTTGGAGGCAGGAGCCCAGTCGTTGGGCAAAGGACCTCGCCCGCGGACTCTCCTGCCGGCTCCCCCGTCGGCCAGGCGAGGCTGTTCCCCGGTTGCGGCGTTTCCAATTCGGGCTTCTCGGGATGAATCATCCCCCTTTCCCGCCGCCTGGCCTCCTTTCCGGCCTCCTCCGCCCGAGGCCTCAGTGGCCCGCGTCCCGGTGGAGCCGAGCACCACCCTTGCGCCCCAAGGTCCTGGGCCGCCCAGCTAAAGCCCCTCCCGGCTGGGCGGCGTGTGGGGTGGCCCCCACGCAGGGGAGGGGGTGGGAGGAAACCAGGCTCCCACCCCAGCGTCCCCGGCCACGAAAGAGGAGGGTTCGGACCTCGCCGCCCGGTAGTGCGTCCGCCCTCCTGGCCTTGTTTTTCAACAGCTCCAGCGCTGGGACCCGTCGCCGAAGTCCTCGGAAGAAGGCCCTCCACTCTGCCCACCCTGCATCTGCACCGCCCCCGAAGCACCAGGCAGACACCGCATCCCTGGCTCCAGCCAGGCGCGGGAGGCCCAGGGCCCGGCCTGGAGCCGCCGCGTCCAAAGTCACCTTTTCACGGACAGAAGCCCGAGCCCAGGGGGACTTCCTGGGGTCACACTGCAGCCAAGGCAGGGCGACATCGGGCCTGACGCCGACCTGCAGAACCCCAGCGCTGGCCGCCTCCGGCACGGCCCGGAGAGCATGCTGGCAAGACCCGTCCCCCTTGGTCCAGGCGGGTGGAGGCTTTTCCCCAGCCGGACGCCCTGGAAGTGGCCATCCCGCCTCGGGTCACAGCGGGCGGCCCAGCCCGACTCGGAGGGGTCACTAGTGCTCGGAGGGAGGAGAGGTGTGCAAAGCTGAGGGATGGGACACCCTGAGGCCTGAGCCTCTGGGGGACGTGGCCTGAGGCTGGGAACCCGGGGTTGAGGGGGGCGGGGGGCGGTGACTTCAGAACACATCCCGAAGGTCCCAGGTAGAGGAAGTCGCTTGGGGACGGGGCCCCCTGCACTCCAGGGTCCCGCTACCGCCCACGTCCACACTTTTGCACCGCGAAAAGGGGGATCCCAGGCTCCTACTCCCAAGAGTTTTTAAGAAAACAAAAAGTTGGAGAAAGTGAAGGCGAAGCCCAGGCCCCCCGCTGTGCTCACCTGGTGCCGCCGCGCCCCCGCCAGTCCGGGTGGAAATCCGCGCGCCAAAGCTCGCGGCCACCGCCGCCTCCTCGGAATCTCGGCCCCTGGCCCCGCCCCCATAGACCCCGCCCAGCACAAGGCCCCGCCCCTCCTCCGAGAGGAGGCGGAGTCTAAGGTGGGAGGGGCACC